GGCCCGCGCCCCTCGTAGTAGGTTTCAAGTGCTCAGGCCGGCTTCCAGGTTTTCAAACAGTATCATACAGCACATCTTCCTCTTCGTCTAAACGTGCTGAATCCGACGCGCTGCTTCAAAATGCTCTACGACCAATACAGCGGCGTCAGGACGTTGCCAAAGTGTGTCAAGCGGCTTCTCGGGGGGAAAAAGCTGGGACTCCAGGGCGCCCTTCTCTCATGCCTCAGCTCTTTTTGCTTGTCCGGCCTGCCCGAGCCTCATAGCCACCCGTCTGGCGCCGTTCTCACCGCGACGTCTAATTCCCCGGCCGGGTTTTAAAACCAACACCCCTCTCGAATCGGCGGACGCCAGGCCAGGCCTCCCGCGACGACGCCTCGAGTTACTGCTAAGTCCCTCGCCCACCCCTCCCCGAGCCTCTTAGCGGTCGCCACTAACGCGGGCCGCCTCGTCAGCCGCAGCAGCCTGCGGCCGGCCCCGGTGGCTGGGGGCCGGGAGGCAGGCCCTCCACGAGCTGCTCGTGAGTGGAGGGAGGCTGGGGGTGACCAGCACGCGGCCCTGTCCTGGGGTAACAAGCGCTCGCTTGAGGGACACGAAACAAAAAAAAGCGCGGCAGAAATGTTTCATCTTTGAGCCGCCCACGACGACCTATGCCCCGCGAGCAACGAGCAAGGCTCCCCGCACCGAAACCCTTTGACGGGGGACTCGCCGCCGCGCTTCCCAGTCGGCGGGGCAAAGTGTGCGCCTCTCCTCTTTGTTTAACCATCTGCAGGCCGGAGCGTGGTGGCGGCGGTAGGGAGGGTGGCCGGGCGGCCCGGGCCCAGACCGGGGGCGAGTTCCGGCGACTAGTTTTGGTTTTCTGGCAGATCAAACACGGGATGCCGTCGCAGCCGCGCCCTGCCATCGGTTTTAAAGCCGGAGGTCTCGTAACTTCGCCCCCGGGTGCCGGGGGCCCGGTGACACCTGCCGCGCCCCGCCCTGCCCCACTCCGCCCACGCCTCTACCATTTGCATCTTTATTCGCGGCTCTCTTGGTATGCTCCGGGGGTGATGGCCTCTCGGTATCGCCCCGCCGGCTACCCCTGGGGTAGTACCCCGCCGTGGTCAAAGACCCCGCCCCCGCTGCTCCTCTGCGTTTACTTTTGCCAGGGGCCGAGCGATGAGGGCTCGAGGAGCGCTTGATGACTTTCACGAGGTGCAGCCCAATCAGCTGACTGACCCGGTGCCCCCGCCCGCCCCCGCCGCCCGGGTATAAAGCAAAGCAGCAGCCGGCGGTCGCCGCCGCCTCTCCGCGGGGCTTAACTCCCAGGTCGGCCATGACTCTTTATCTGCGGCGCTGTGGAGTTCCTCTCCGAGACGTGTAGAGGTTGGGGTGGAAGGGCGGGGCGGGGCGGAGTGCGAACCCTTCCTTCCCCCCTCTAGCAGCTCGCTCTGATGGCCCCGGGCGGATGGTCAGAGCGAGATGACTGCCGGGCCGAGATAGCACCTCAATCACTGCCCCATTATTGGGCTCCTACTGCCACCCTCCTCCCCCACCCTTCCCCTCTCCTCCCCTCCCCCGCTGCGAGCTCCGCGCACCTGTTGGCTGGAGAAGAGATGGGAAATGGAAAAGGCTGCGTAGGTAAAAAAGCGGACTCAGCGGTGGCGCCGACCGTCAGTTGTAGCAGACTGCTGGGGATAACCACACTGACAATGTAGCGCCCCCTATACTATCTCTATTTTAATATTTTGGGGCAGAATCAACGTGTTTTTTTTTTTCTTGCATTTTGGCTCATTTTTGCTCTAAAGTGTGACGCAGTGATGCCAGGATTTGACCCCGAAGTCGGTCGAAAGGTGGTGCTTAGCACTCGCCGGGGCTTAGTCCCTCTCCCCGTGCACTTCACCATCACCCCTAACCCTCGCTACAGGTGGCGGGGGAGGGTGGGTGCGGGTAGGGGGATGCGAGCGTCAGCAGGCCTTGTGCAGGCGACAGGGGCGACGACGGCTAAATCCCAGGGGACTGCGGCAGGGATCTGGGGATCTCCAGGCCAGCGCCGCCACTGCCGCGCGCAGCGCGCACTGTGCGGGGGCCAGGAAAAAGAGAAAGAGTGGAGTAGAAAGGAGCACGATTTAAAGATGGGGCCCGACCCACCCACTGCGGGGCCCCGCCCCCGTTGGTCGTGGGATTGCCGCTACCCGCATGCACGGGACCGCACGACGGACGCGAGGGGCTAACGCTTGAGGGGCCCGCTTGGCTTTTACGCCCGCTGTTCACACCGGCGCTATTCCCAATGACGGTCACGTCGCTACAGAATGACTGCGGCAAATCGCTTCGTAGCGGGCGGCCTCTTTTGTGCAGCAGCGAGACGAGGAGACAAATGGCCAGGATCAGAGGGGAGGAGGGGGGGGGGGCACTGGTCCGACCACCCACCTACCTACAGCCCGACGGCGGCGTATTCCTCAACGACTTGCCATAGCCTTCCCCGGGAGGACACCTGCAAGACTCGTCACAACCGCAGTGGCTGTAGGATACGAAAGACTCGAGGTTTCTGATTCAATGTAGATTTAGACCAACTCTTCTTCGCCCCAGCTCCTCTCTCACAGCCAGTCTCTCGGTGACCACTGACCACCACCACCCCCACCACCTCCTACCACAGGATGCCAGGACGCGCAGCAGGTGCCGGGCCAAGAGAGCCAAAGAGCGTGTCCTGATTGTTGTCTATTGTCCAGCCTGCTGCTGTGCTGGCCACCATCCCCTGCAGCAGCTGCACGACTCTTGACGCGACGCACGCCCCCCCCCCCTTCCAGCCCTGCCCTGCCTTCTATACTACGTCCGTCCGTTTTCTTGTTGGCGCGGAATCAAGAAGATGCGACGTCGCGGCTGCTCGGCGGCCTGTTAGCAGAGCCGAGGGAAGGGGGGAGCGGAAGGGAAAGAAAGCGCAGCGGGGCGGGTGGTGACATTTAGTCTGGGCCGGCGGCGGGCTGCCGCCCTCGCGACACGCACAGCGCTGTGGTGAGTGGGTCACACAAAAGGGAAGTTGGGGGTGCTTCCGTCCCGCCACCCCCCCCCCCCTCTCTCGCTCTCTCTCTCTTTCTCTCACCCCCTCTCACACCGCTCTCCTCACAATTTCCTCCTCACGCCGCTGCTCGCTCTGCATCGAGCACCCCCTCCCCCCTCACGTCTACGCCGCGCCGCCACCAGCTTGCAATGCGTATTGCCATCTGCGCAATTTCTCATAACGACCTTCATCCTTACCGGTCCTCTTTCATATAAAAGAGTGGTCATTACAGTGCAGCACCGCTCTTTTATTTATTCTCTCTCTCTCTCTCTCTCTCTCTCTCTCTCTCTCTCTCTCTC